TCAGATAGCCTTAGGAGAACAAGTTGATTTTCCCGATGGGTGATAATTGTTACCCGTCGTTGTGATAAAAATATATATCTTTCATCCTATTTAACTTGGAGAGAGAAATTAATGCATTTTTATGAATCTGTATAATTCCCAGCAGATTAGACAGGTACACAAAGGCGACCTGCAAAGAGCCATTTCTCTGAAGTAAATTAACAGCCCAAATATACCCAAGTTGCAAAGGACTAAGAACAAATGTAGGCGTCAGGCCTGACCAGAAGACGAGCCAGCAGGACCCAAGAAGGGGCCGGAGGGTGTGAAAAGAGCAATGCGTACCAATCCAGTCTTGGCATCAACTTGGCAGGCATAATTGTAGAGGATAAGGTCCATCAAAGCCGCATACGAAAGCCTGGAATGACCAGAAGGCTTACTGAAAAGTATACTCAAGATACTTATATTTGAGTGAGTATGCATGTGTATGTGTGTGTGCGTGTGCGTGTGTGCCAATACAATACAGGAAATACCAGTTATCACTCACAGAAAAAAGCATAGCGTCAGTCTCGGGTCATCAAAGTTAACTGGCGCAAAGAAAAGCATGCCTGGGATTGCGTAAGTACGTCTGGCTGCAAAACCTCAGTGGCCAAGAAGTGGACTGGGAGTCTGGTGGGATTATCAGGTTGCGGTTGGTTGTGAAGCCATAGCCACATGGCCGGTCTGTGATGACCGGAAGCGTTGATTTCCGAAATAGGCATCGAAAGCACTGTCCTGACTGACCAAAGACGACTTTTCTTCTTATTCAAGATTCGCTGATGTTTCGGAAGCTACTTATTTGATAATTAGTAGTGCGTCGATTGTAATGGTAAATACACTTATGAATTAGGAGAGGCCTGGAGAGAAGCGATTTGAGCTAGTTTTCTCAATGTTTTCGTATTTTCGAGGCGACTTAGATGGACTCATCTTGTCCAAGGAATGTATGCCTGGGTAGCCATGGCAATTTCATGTGTTGGACTTTGAAATTGGTACATTCCCATATGTTTCGCC